AGGCACGATTTGAAGTTTTTCTTCCGTCCTTCGAGGCACTACAACCTAAGTCTGTGTGAGATCGAGGGAACTGTGGAACAATGGATGCATTTTGTACAATTTGGAACAATTTATAGAGGCAGAATCAGTGTTTAACACATGTATCTGTAAACTTGTGGTGACGTAGGAGAAAAGTCCAAACAATGCTCCAAATGAAGATTTCCCAGAATACAAGAACCTCACATTGGGATGGGCCTTGAGACCATTCCACACCTGAACAAAACCAATCGGCAGCCCAGTAAAAATCCTTTTCACAACATACTCAGCTTGAAGATCCAGGGTGTGGGAGAGTGCGTGAATGAATAAGTGAGTGAGGGAGAGTGTGTGTGAGTGTGTGTGTGTGTGTGTGTGTGTGTGTGAAAAAGCCCATTTCATTTTGAAATGGGTCTTGTTAGGAAGGTCTTATGCTTCTCCTGAAACTGCCACTTTTGCCTAGTGTGGCCCTCTGGGACAGAGCAAAACAGAATCCTTATAATCCCTCCTCTAGGAGACAGCCAGCTCCACAAGCTGTTTCCTGTCACCATACTTTAAAACCACATACCTTTCCCCCTGTATTTATACTCACAACGCTCATCCTTCTTAGATTTCAAGATGGTTCACCATTTTACTCCTGCTAATTTCATAACTTAAACAGAATCTCCCATTTGCTCCCATAATTCTTTGGCCTATAGTCCTCATCAAATTGTTAGAATCAAACCAGACTTAAAAGGGAAACAAGTGGTCACCTCCTTCTATTAAAGACATCCAGTGAGATGAGAACCCATCCACACCCATTACTTCCTGAAGCAATCCAATTTACTTTTATTATAGCTTTCACATAAAAAAAAATTTTTTTTTACAATAAAAGCTTAGCTTTTATTATAAGTATTTCCTCACAATAAAGCCTGTATTTCCTTTTCACCTTTGTCCTGCTTCTGCCTTACAGGATAAACAGAACAAGTCTAGTTTACATCTTTAGAGTGTTCCAGATCTTTCTATGGCAATCTTGAAGTCTACTCTTTGGTGCCTTTTCCTGAAAACTCTCCAGCTTTCTCAATGTCAGTCTAAAAAGAAAACTGACACTCAAGATGAACACCACAGACGTGAACAGATTAAACTGAGATTATTTACGTCCCCTAATCCCGGACACTACTTCAGTCTGTGACTTAAGCTTTTTTGAATGCCTTAATCACCTTGCTGACTATACATTGCTGCTTGAGCTTGCAGTCAAGAATGCTAGAATCCCAGATCTTTTTCAAACTTGTGTATCTTATGTTTTTCCCATCTCGTACTGGGAAGTCCCATGATATACTAAAAAGTGCTGGATTTGAGAACGTGGATTTTCCTTTCATTCAAGTGCCACCTCTAACACTTACTAGCTGTTTGACCTTGAGCAAGTCATTTTACTTTTAGGCTTTAAGTTTCCCACCTGTAAAATGGGGAAAACATCTGCAGTACTCATATAGCGTTGTTAGGAGGACTAAAGTTCTTTGCAAATCTTAAAGCACCATATAGATTTGTTAACATTTCTTGTGAATTTGATTTTCTAAACCCAAGTATAACACCATATTTATTTCTGCTAAATTTCATCTTTTTCTAAGTAAAGTTCAGCCCGATATTTTAATCTAACAGATTTCCCCCCTCCCCCATCCTTGCTTGGTGTTATCCAATATGGTTGATTCTCCCCTTCATATACCCATTTGATAGAGAGATACTCTCTATCTTTATCCAATTCAATAATAAATATTAAAACCAATTCCAGCACTTCTTAGTTTCAAATAATTTGGTCTAACAAGCAACTACAACTACACTATGTTCTACCCTAAGGCCTACTTATGTAAAAACTACTTTCAAAGGTAGGAGTTCTTTTAAATTTAGCCTCATGTAGGACCGGCAAGACTGGTTCCCTTTTCCCGAAGGATGGGAGTAGTCTGAACACTTAAATGAATCCCCGGGTATAACCTAACACACCGAAGGAGTTTCTACCAGTTGTGGCACATTTGGAAAGTGAAGGCTTAGGTACCTCCCAGGTTGTTGTGAGGATCATGGTATTTGTAAAGTGCTCGACAAACCTTACTTTGCTACCTGTGATTATTATGATACTTTAGGCAAATCACCCATTTCCTCACTGTAAAATGAGAACAGTTGGGGTTGAACTAGTCAAGCCTCTGAATCTCAGGTGCTATCTAATAGTCATGATGGTCATATACAAAGGCTATCAGTGGTCTTAGATTGAGGTATTTAAAAAAACACAAGCCTCCTTCCCTGCCTCTGAAATCCCAGTAAGTGCTGCCCCTGATTTCTGTGCTTCCTCTATTTTTTTAATCCAAAGTTGTCTCTTCCCAGACCATCCCCGTCCCTGTGCCAATGGTTTCTGTCACTAGGTAAGTTCCTTGAGGTCTGCACCCTGTTGACACATAAGCTCGTAATCGTTTTTCATTTATTCATAGTCACTCAGAAGCCTGCAGTACTGAGCCAAGAGAGTTTTTCTGGAACATGTGCTACTTTTTCCTACCAAAAGCCATGAAGGATAGCTCGGAGAGAAACTGATTAGCACATGTACAGGGTGAAGCAAATTGTTACTGCACCAAAGACTTTGGCAACTTTCTGTAATACTTAAGGAAGTGCTTTAGGTTCTAGCAGCATTGTCAAAGTACAGACAACTGGGCATGGGTATATTTTTCATAAGGGCCTATTAGTAGTGAAATCCATGTGCATTTAGAGTGTGCATTTAGCATGTACTAGTGTGTTAATGTACCATTTTTTCCAAAAAAATTTTTCTACTCATCCTGTCTCCGTTTCAGTATTTCAGGGAGGAGGCAGGAGAAAAAAAAGAAATCAGAGAACTCATACTCAAGCTAATACTTCTTGTAAAAGTAGAGAGGGCAAGGTGGTTTTATCCTCATTTTTAGAAAGAAGGAAAACGGGGCTCAGAGAGGACAGGGAACTTGCCAAAAGTTGCAGTGTTAGTTATTGGACTAACCCCAAAAAGGCCTTCCAATTAAGTCCTTATAATAACGCTTTTTTCCACTAATTATGTTGTACTCTACCCCAAAGTACTCATCAATTCAATAGAAAAAAAGGGCCAACACCAACCACTAAAAATTGTTTCACTGCTATGTAACCTTATATAAAGAGAAGCTACCTGTCTGTAAAATTCTTCCAGAGCTTTCGGCCTCCAGCAAAGAAAAAAAATAATAAACTGCATCTATAAACTAAACAAAATTGGATTTGCAGTTTTATAACGGCTTCCTGAATCATGGATACCTTTGACAGAATTTCTCAAAGAGCCAGCTTAGTTGTCAGTAGATCTCCATCTACTTCCTGGACTGGGAGTCAGGAAAACTTCAATTCAAATCTCATTTTAGACGCCTGCTAGCTGTGTGACTCTGGGCAAGTCACTTAACCCTGTTTGCCTCAGTTTCCTCATTTGTAAAAGGAGCTCCAGAAGGAAAGGGCAAAACCACTCCAGTATCTCTGCCAAGAAAACCCCAAATGAGTCATGAAGAGTTGAACAGGACTGAACAACAAAACTTCTAGATGCTTCACTTTCTTCATTGGTTAAATGAGAGGCAATGGTCTTGAAGACCAATTATATGTTACAGATATGTAACACATATATTTATAATAGAGCTATAGCACAATTACTGCCTTTATTAAAAGACATAATAGGAGTGTACTTTCTCTACACTATTGACATTTATTTCTCCTTAACGATGAGATGCATTTAATAAAGAAACCAAGAAAAACAACCAACCACTTTGTATGTCCATTATGAACAAAATTTCAAAATTATCTCAACAGGGCTGGACAACTAACTGCAACCTTGGGGGGTGGGGGACATTGTGCAGCAGAAAAAATCAATTATCTCTGTAGTAAGGACCTGGAACCTGGTTGAATCTACCCTACCTGAATAACGTATTTTGTAAATGGCTTAAAGGCTCAGTGTCAGGAACAACACTTGTTTCCCTTCCCCTTTCCCTACCGTTTTTAAACCTGGGCAAACGTCACTTAATTTTTATGGGCCTGGGTTTTCTCATCTTTGAAGTGAGGGGACTCCATTGCCTCTTAAGTCTCTTTCTGCCTTAGATCTAAGATCCAAGGAACTGATCTATGACCTAATCATAAGATTAGGATGTTAATGGAAGGAGTGCGGGATTCTAAAGTATTGATTCCTGAGTCAGTTCAAATCCCAGCAGTGCCATTTATACCGATGATCTCCAGTTCTCTTACTTCACCTCTTTGGGACTCAGTTTACCAGAAATTAAGGGAGTAAGGCTAGACAAGCTTTAGGGAAGGGTTCCTACGTCTTTGATCCTTTCAAGTCTGGAATCCACAAGCAGAAAACAAGAGCACCCAAAGAGCAGAAGCAACCTAAGGGGCTTAATCCATAGCCTCCCGGCAGAGCTACGGAAAAGGGCCCGTTAAAAACAGAAATAAGGCAGCGTCCTTATCAGAGCGCGCCCCCGCCTTTCTCCTCCAGGGCTTTAGAAGGCAGAACGGTTGGAGAAGTAGAAAGAAGCGCAAGCTCATCTGTTCCTACCATAAAAGTTTCACTTTTTGTCCCTCCAGTTTTTCTTTTGCCCTCCCTCCCTGCCCCCTCCCCCAAGAAGAGCATATCAACGCGCTCCTGGAAAGACAGTCAGTTACTGCCTTCTAAGGTCAGGCAGCGGGTAGGGTCCAGGATTGGCTTCTTACCCCACGTGGAGTCACCTTGACAGACACCCGGCTCCGCCCAGACCCACCCCATTCCCCAAGCACACCAATAACACAGAGGAGCCGAGAGCCCGCCCCCTCCCGGGCCGAGCCAATAAGCTAACGCGGCTACTGGCACAGCGGAAGAGGAGGGGCCTGGTGGTTGCCAAAGAAGCCGCTTCCCCTTCGTCACCAGCGACGCTTGGGTTCGTCCTACTTTGTCCGGTAACGGCGACTTTTCCGCTAGCGAATCCAAGGAACACGCTTTTTCCCCCCGGGCCACTCACCAGCCCGCCCCTAATCCTCCTCACTCCCCACTTCCTCCCTGTCCGCTGAGAGAGCAACGGTATGGTAGACAGAACCTTCCGCTTCTGCCAGGGCCTCGCGCTCCCGCCTTTCTTTTTATAGCCGGGCGTGCGACGTGACGTGACGTACCGACGCTGGCGTCGGCGCGTTGACGGCCGCGGCGCCATTGTATTCGGGAGGCGAGATCGAGGCGCGCTGGGCGGGCTTTCAGTTTCTCACCCGCTTGCTCCCGGCGGCCTGGGAGGGTGGTACCCAGCGCCTCCTCGGGGCCGCAACCTGACCATGGCCTTGTTTCTTTTCCTTGCGTGTGCGTTCGCAGCCTAGGCTAGTCCCCGGCAGACCCTAAGCCAAGGGCGGGCGGTGGCCGGCCTCATGCTGGAGCACCCGGGGCCGCGCTCGCTTCTCCCGGGCGGCGCCGCGGCGGCCGCCCGCCCTTCCTACGCAGCCGTTCTCAGAATTGATTCGTGAATTAGGGTACGGCCTCGGCGACAAGGGGCCTCGACAGGCCACGAGGCCAGCCGGCTCATTTCACTCGGGGATCCGTTCCAAAGGGGGCTGGAGTAAGGAAGGCCCGAGTTCAAATTCAGCTTTAGGCTCGTCGTAGCCCCGTGACCCCGTGCAAGTCATTTAACCAATGCCCGCCTCGGTTTACGCATTTGTAAAACGAGGACAATAGCACCCACGTGTCAGGTTGTGAGGTTCAAACAAGATGATAATTGTAAAGCGCTTATCACAGTTCCTGGCACTTGCAGGCAGCTATTGTTGAAGTGATTTGCTCCAGGTCAGGAAAACATGTGGTACTAGTATATATCCATTTATCCAGAATCTCGTCAGTAATATGGGGGGGGGGGTTGTCTTAAGACGGCCATTATGTCAGGATGATGGGAAGGGCAGGGATGGGGATTAGGTTTGTTTATTTCTCTGGTTTAGGACCTCCCTAGTGAGGAAAGTCCTGACACCGGCACATATTACCACTCTCTGAATCCCAGAGAATTTTCGAGAACACGTGTCCACAGTCACAAGTAAGTGACTTCAGCCCCAGCCCAGGTTCCATCCCTTCTGCCAGGCTTCAGTAGGTGTGGCCACAGGGATTAATTACTGCAGTGGAACCAAAGCTCTAAGCCCTGTTAGAAACAAAAGAACCAATAAGAAATACCGAGGAACTTTGGCCTTTGTTGAACTTTTTTGAATTTGGTTGTTTTCTGTGGCCTACACTTGATTAAAGCAAAACCAAAAAAAATCATTTTTTAAAAGTCATCCATTCAATCAACAAGTATTTATGAATAAGTGCCTACGTTGTGCCAGGCACTGTGCCAATATTCTCATTTGATCCATATTGTTGATCCTTAAAGCACTTGCCGTGTATGTGTGTGGGCACAGGCTAGCTTTGTACTAAGTACTTGAAATGCAAAAAACAAAAACAGCCCTCGCCCTCTGGGAGCTTCTGTCCTAAGACAACGTTCAAGTAACTGTGTACATAAGGGACACTTCTATGGTGTTATTTCAGAGGGAAGGCATTAGCAGCGCCCAGGATACAGAGAAAGGCAAAAGAGAGACAAGAATTAGGAAAGTTATTTCTCAGGTGTGTTGGATGGGAGATTTATGCATAGGTTTGTGAGTTGAACTAGATGGTACTTTAAGATTTTTCCAACCAAGTCTGAACTTAAGGTTTGATATGACTATTCTCTAACAACTGTTTTTCACCATTAAGGGCTGGCATAAACAATATGCTTGAACCAGCCTTTTCCCCCAAGTAAGTGGGCAATTCCTACTTGGTTTGTATTTGGTATGATGGTATCAAACACTGCCTATGTTCAAAGGACTTTGGATTGGTCAAACTAGTTGCCAGGAGAAATGTTTTGAAGATTTACCCTACACAAATAACTTTGGTGTTTTAAAAAGTATGGAGTACTGTTTGCCTCAATCAGAGAATGTCAAGTTTGTAAAGGAATTTGGAAGTTCCTAATGTGTTTTCATTCTCAGGAGAATTAAGTTCAGAGTTTCTAAAGTGTAAGAGAGAAACTGAGAATAATGATATCCTTTTGCCCACCAGAAGGTCAGTTTGTTTTTGGCCTAACACTGGGACTTAGGAAATCTGTACCTCAGGGCAGACCAAATTGAACTGAGCATTGAACAATTCATAGGAAAGTCACAATGAGATTCTTAAGAGAATGAAAATCTGGGCTTCATCTGAACAAAAATAGTTTGCTGCAGCTTTTCTTGCCCCTTTTAATACTTAAAATTTAAACTCTAAAATATGTTGTTTTTCTATATTTTAGTGATAATAGATTGAAATAGATCGATGTAAGGAAATGTTGAGATAAACTAAGAATTCATGGTAATAGTCATTTTTATGTATAAAATTTAATATTTACCATTGAGAATATAAGGAGTAAAACAAATATTTGCCTTGAAGCTAAAGCTATTTTAATAATGACTTTGGGGGAATTCCGGACCTGTGATTTTATTGACATAGGAAACTCTTTGGAAAGGAAAGCCCCTCTACTAATAAAGGTAGGCAATTGTTTTTAAGCTTTTATTCTGAGTTGCCTGGGACACTGGGAAGTCAAGTGACTTGGCCAGTTACACATCCATTATCTATTAGAGGGAGAAGCCCAGGTCTTTCTGAATCTCTGGCCAGCTGTCTATGATGTCACGTTAGTAATGATTTAAAAAATGACCTATTCTGTGTTGGTATTTATCAGTAACAACAACAATAAAAGAATATATTTAATTTTTATGTTTTAATTTTTATACCTATGGAGAGCCAATGTAGTAGTAAGAAAGGCACTAATCTTTTAACCTAACTGTCCTGGGTTTTAGTCCCAGATTACTTGTTTTTCAACTATGATTTAAACCACTTAATCTCCTCCCAACCCATTTCCTTATCTATAAGATAAGAATAATTAAGTTGGAGGTGGAAGGTACATTAGAGTTCATCTGATCTCACCTACTGGAACCTAGAAGGGAAAAAAACCTAGAGCTAGACTAGTGAAATGATTTGCCAGAGGTCAAGCTGGGATTAAATCCCAGGTCCCCTCCAGGACCAAGTCCTGTTCTTTCCGACTATATAAATGCTTCTTAAATGAATACCACATAAAAGGAAGGTATTGTTATCAGTAAACATAATAAACCCTTCATTTATCTGGAGGGTATGTACCTGTATATACAGTCTGTTGACTGTATTTAGGAATCAGGACACTGCCAAAATATGTCACAAATTCTAGAAGTAGAATTACCTGCATCTTGCCCTGCCTTAACGGTTTATTCTTGCCTTGATAAGAATTCTAATAAACTTACTTTCCTAGTGTTATTGCTCACAACCTGAGGCCTTCAGAGAGTAGGAGGGGTCAGGAGAGTTCAGCAGGAAGCAGCAGGAATGCTTTAGATGGCCCTGGACTGTGGCCACTGAGTGTGTTGGCCAGCAGGCTACATAACGAAGACCTGTTTCATTTGTTCCTCACAATAGCCCCTAAAACAAGGTGTTATCTTCACTTTATAGATGAAGAAATGGGCTCAGGAGGGCACTTAACATCCATATTCACCAGGCTAGTAGGTGTCCAAGCTGGAACTAGAACAAGTGTTCTAATGATTACTCTGGTGCTTTTTCCATTTTACTACAATTGAATTATTGAGATGAGGTTAAATTAAGGGATGTGTACCCTGCTGAAGGAGAGAAGGAAAACTATAGTGTATTTTTAACATTTTCATCCAAGTATGTTGGTGTTGATATTATCTTCTATTTCTGACATTCTCTGATTCCCTCATCTAGACATTTTATGATTGGTGCACACAACAATAGTGAAGTTCCTTCAACTTTTCTGCAGGAGGAAAGTATTGGATTGTCATTACCTCTCTTTCAACCTGACAAGGGTGATCCATCTCATTCCAGAAATCAAGGACAGGTATTTCATCCTGATCCTTTTCATGTAAGTTTGTGAATTGTTTGTTTTTTTAAAAAGGAAGGAGAGTACTGAAAATTTTAGTAGAATTTTGAGAATTTTAAGAGTTGGAAGGGTTGTCAAAGACTCTCTCTAGCTGGCATCCTACTCTGTAGCTGAACTGTTAGTGTTATATTCCAGATTGTCAGTTATCAGTTCAAACAACAAATATGTATTAAATGCTCACTATATGTCCAACACTGCAGTCTATCATTGGACATTTATTAAATGCCAACTGTGTTCTGGGCCTTTTGTGCTGTAGATAGGGCATAAACAAAATAATCTTTGGCCTTCAGGAACTTGATTTGGAGAAACAAGTATATTTACATGGCTTAGTTGCTGTAATAACTATACAATGTTTTGGTTGTACCCTTCTCTGTTGATATTTGGAATCACTGGTATCAAACGTAGCATCCCAAATTCTAGTGAGAAAATATCAGATACTGGTTTTTCCTTCACTATAGGATACAGAATGAAATCCCAGACAAAAAGAAAGAAAAAATAGTCATTTAGAGTTTTGTTTTTACATTTTTGTTTATAACCTTTGTTTTTACATTTATCTTTCCCAATATATATCCCTAATCCCTCCCCCTCCCAAAAATGTCTCTTAGAACAAAGAATAAAAAAGAAAGGGGTGGGGTGGGAAGCACTTTTAACAAAACTAAGCAGTACATTGACTGAGTCCAACTTTGCTCCACACTTATGCAAAGAAGGGCGGGATATACATTATTATAAGTCTTATTTAGGACAAAACTTGCTTCTTGTAATTACAGATTTCAGTTTTGATTTTATTGTTTTTGTTGTTTTAATTTACATTGTTGTAGTCATAGTGTATATTGTTTTCCTGCTTATGTCACTCTGCATTAGGCCATGTTAAGTCTTGGTGCGTTTCTCTGTATTCTGTAATATAGTAGTATTCCAATATGTTTACTCTTACACTCAGTTTGGAAGGTTTTTTTTTTAAATTCACTGAAATAGCTTTTATCAAAGTATTTCAAACCTTCTTAAAGTTATTGAGTGTTGGACAACAATTATAACTGATTTATGTAATGCTTAGAGTTTTGCAGAATACTTTATTCACAACTCTGAGA